CCCCAAAACCCCAAAACCCCAAAACCCCAAAACCCCAAAACCCCTCTAATAGCCTCTTAGTTGAGCATCTTTAAAATAATAATCTTTGCTGTCCTAATTCAGGATTTTCTTCAGTGCTAAGTTCCTTCCATATCTCTTCAATCACGGCTTTGGAAAATCCTGTTCCACTGAGAGTTATAGAGAATTCTTCAGGTGTACGCTTAAGCAGGGCAAGGATTTCATCTTTATGACTATCGTCAAGTAGGTTCATACAAAGGTTTAGATGCCTTAGTTGACCGTTCTGGACTAACATCCATGTTCCGTCATCTTGCTGCTCGATATCATCTAGTATAGGCACAGGTTCTTCTGGTTTCTTAGAAGCTTTGAGCTTCTTGTTCTTCTCAACAATAGCGTCTCGGTCTTTCATCTTCTTGACGTGGGCATCAGCCTCATCTTCTGGGAAGGGCTTCTTACCAATAGCACCTAGAAGGGGTTCCAAGTCTTCGAATGAGAGGTTATTCTTGGCTAAGCCAATGAACTCTAAGTTCTTGTTATATGAAGTAATCAAATCTCTCAAGGTCTCTACAGAGGTAGCTGTGATCTTGTTATAACTAATATCCAGGACCTTAAGAGGATGAGTCTCTTTAAGATTTTCGCATATTTGATTTACATCTTCATCGTCAAGTTCATTTCCTCTGAGAAAGAGGATCTTTATTCTTGATTCCTGGGACACAAACTTTGCAAACCTGGATGGCTCGTCTTCTGGGCGCTCATAGCGGTAATCATTGGCATCAACTAGAGTTCTGAAGTCTTCCTTATACAAAGGGTTCCAGTCGAAAAACACTGTAGATAGAGCTGGAGTTTGGTAAAGATGATCCAATATTTTGTCAAACTGTGACGGCGTAATCCCATTGTTTGAGAATTTTACAGTTCTCACCACTGATTGTGGGATCAAGTGGAAGAATGCCTTCATAGTGTTCTTGTCAATCCTGTGTCTTTCAAACTTAACGACAGTAACAGGTTTGACTTCTGGCTCTTTTGCATCTTCCTCTTCAAGGTTAAATTCTGGCTTTTCGACCTCCCATAGAACAGGTCTCAGTGCAGGATGCACTTGGATGTTCATTAGTTTACAGATGGCTTCCACATCTTTGTGAAAATTCCCTGTTTGCTTAAAACCAGCTAGGTTCACTTCATTTGTATTAACACTGTCGTTCTCTTGGAAAGTCCAGATCATTTTTAACTGATTATTTAAATCAATTTTTATATTAATTTAGGGGTTTTGGGGTTTTGGGGTTTTGGGGTTTTGGGGTTTTGGGG